TGTTTTCGACCCTCTCTCACCCTCTCCCGCTCCCTCTCTCTCTCTCCCTCCCTACCGCAACTGTCTCGACCTCTGAATGCTCGGCTATGAAAAGCCAACTGACATTTACTCCTGAGGTGCTGTCTTTTTGCACCCTCTACAACCACTGTGATTATTATTTGACCCTGCTGGTCATCTATGAATGTTTGAACATCTTGAAGAACGATTTGGCCGTAATGGCCATGTACTCTTAAAATCTCCACCCAGGACAGCCAGAAGAGGACGGGCCACCCCTCAGAGCCTGGTTCTTCTCTAGGTTTCTTCCTAGGTTCCTGCCTTTCTAGGGAGTTTTTCCTAGCGATGTGCTTCTACATCTGCATTGCTTGCTGTTTGGGGTTTTAGGCTGGGTTTCTGTATAAGCACTTTGTGACATCTGCTGATGTAAAAAGAGCTTTATAAATCACTTTGATTGATTGATTGGTTACCACTTGTCAACTTCTCCAGCACCACCCTAACATCAACATGTGAAAGTGGCGGGTTTCTATGTTTCTGATGTCATTGGAAACACTTTTAACATCATCTGGTGTGTAGCATGTGATTTACTAACCTTTGCCTGCTCATAGTTAAAATCACATGATACACACCAGATGATGTCAAGTTATTCCGATGACATCATCCAGAAACACATCATCCAGAAACACCTTTGACATAATCTGGTGTGCATCTCTTTCACTACAAATCATAGAAACCTGTCGTTTTCACATACAGTGGGGTCCGGAATTATTGGATCCCTTGATAAAGATGAGCAAAAAAAGACTATAAAATAAATAAAGATTTGGAGGATGCAGGCATCAATCCCACAATCTCTCACATGCTAAGCAAGCGCGCTACCATTTGAGCTAATCCCCCTGTGTTCACTACAACAATTATAAAACATCTTCCATATCTCTGGCACTGCCTAGTCATAGATGGAAAGTAAAGATTTGAAGGAAGCAGGCATTAATCCCACTACCACTCATGCTAAGCAAATGCCTTACAATTTGAGCTAATCCTCCATTCATGTTCAGAGATAATGACTAATGGAACTTTCAGTGAATGTTCACAAAAGTAGAATGTGTAACTGTGTATACAGTATGTCTCTAATTCATAAGCAATATTACTATTTTCCCTTGGAGTCCCTTGATGATCACTGATTAATAGCCTAAGTTTAGTGTGTTAACACACTATTGGTAGTTTGTTGTAACCGAGTATTGGTGCTAAACCGTGTTATTGGAAGCTAGCATGCTAGTTAGCTATGGCGTCATAGGATATGGTGCCCTGGGCGGTTTTCACGGAAGAATACTGTATCAAGTTAGCTAGCTGAATAAACTAAGTTAGAGTCTATTCCTAGAAAACATTGAACCGCTGTAGTTTACAACATTATAATTTCTAAAGTGGAAGTTGGGAGAGTTATATTTGAGTGTTTCAGTGAAACGTAAGTGAGGGAGGCCCCGCTCTCTCGCTTTCCCAGATGTTTAGTTAATTTCATTCTGATCTCCTTTGCATTATTGTAGCCTTTTCTGCAGCCTGTCAACTATGTGTCTGTCTATCCCTGTTCTCTCCTCTCTGCACAGGCCATACAAACGCTTCACACCGCGTGGCTGCTGCCACTCTAATCTGGTGGTCCCTGCGCGCACGACACACGTGGTCTCCGGCAGCCTCTGGAACTGCCATTCTGCGGCCAACAAGGCAGAGTTCATCTCAGCCTATGCTACCCTCCAGTCCTGCTCTTTCCTCGTCTGATCATGTGTTCTCGCATACCCCGAGAGCATCTGGTCATTGCGGCGGTGGCACAGGAATCCTCATCTCTCCCAAGTGGACATTCTCTCTTTTTCCCCTGACCCATCTGTCTATATCCTCATTTGAATTCCATGCTGTCACAGTCACTAGCCCATTCAAGATTAACATCCAGGTTCCCTTGGAGAGTTCATCAATGAGCTTGACGCCTTGATAATTCCTTTCCTGAGGATGGTTCACCCCTCACAGTTCTGGATGACTTTAACCTCCCTACGTCTGCCTTTGACTCATTTCTCTCTGCCTCCTTCTTTCCACTCCTTTCCTCTTTTGACCTCACCCTCTCACCGTCCCCCCCTACTCACAAGGCAGGCAATACGCTTGACCTCATCTTTACTAGATGCTGTTCTTCTACTAATCTCACTGCAACTCCCCTCCAAGTCTCCGACCACTACTTTGTATCCTTTTCTCTCTCGCTCTCCTCCAACACTACTCACTCTGCCCCTACTCAGATGGTAATGTGTCGTCGCAACCTTCGCTCTCTCTCTCCCACTACTCTCTCCTCTTCCATCCTATCATCTCTTCCCTCTGCTAAATCCTTCTCCCTCCGATCTCCTGATTCTGCCTCCTTAACCCTCCTCTCCTCCCTTTCTGCATCTTTTGACTCTCTATGTCCCCTATCCTCCCGGCCGGCTCGGTCCTCCCCTCCTGCTCCGTATGGAAATGGAGGAAAACTAGACTCCCTGCAGACCTGTCATCTTTTCACTCCCTCCTCTCTACATTCTCTTCCTCTGTTTCCGCTGCTAAAGCCACTTTCTACCACTCTAAATTTCAAGCCTCTGCCTCTAACCCTAGGAAGCTCTTTGCCACCGTATCCTCCCTGCTGAATCCTCCTCCTCCTCCCCCTCCCTCCTCCCTCTCTGTGGATGACTTCGTCAACCATTTTGAATAGAAGGTTGACGACATCTGATCCTCATTTATTAAGTCAAATGACACCGCTGGTCCTGCTCACACTGCCCTACCCTATGCTTTGACTTCGTTCTCCCCTCTCTCTCTGATGAAATCTTGCGACTTGTGACGGCCGTCCGCCCAACAACCTGCCCACTTGACCCTATCCCCTCCTCTCTTCTCCAGACCATTTCCGGAGACCTTCTACCTTACCTCACCTCGCTCATCAACTCATCCTTGACCCCTGGCCATGTCCCTTCCGTCTTCAAGAGAGCGAGAGTTGCACCCCTCCTCAAAAAACCTACATTCGATCCCTCCGATGTCAACAACTACAGACCAGTATCCCTTCTTTCTTTTCTCTCCAAAACTCTTGAGCGTGCCGTCTCTAGCCAACTCTCCTGCTATCTCTCTCAGAATGACCTTCTTGATCCAAACCAGTCAGGTTTCAAGACTGGTCATTCAACTGAGACTGCTCTTCTCTGTGTCACGGAGGCTCTCCGCACTGCTAAAGCTAACTCTCTCTCCTCTGCTCTTATCCTTCTAGACCTATCCGCTGCCTTTGATACTGTGAACCATCAGATCCTCCTCTCCACCCTTTCCGAGTTGGGCATCTCCGGCGCTGCTCACTCTTGGATTGCGTCCTACCTGACAGGTCGCTCCTACCAGGTGGCGTGGTGAGAATCTGTCTCCGCACCACGTGCTCTCACCACTGGTGTCCCCCAGTGCTCAGTTCTAGGCCCTCTCCTATTCTCTCTATACACCAAGTCACTTGGCTCTGTCATATCCTATCATTGCTACGCAGATGACACACAATTAATTTTCTCCTTTTGCCCTTCTGATAACCAGGTGGCGAATCGCATCTCTGCATGTTATCCAGAACGCTGCAGCCCGTCTGGTGTTCAACCTTGCCAAGTTCTCTCATGTCACCCCGCTCCTCCGCACACTCCACTTGCTTCCAGTTGAGGCTCGCATCTACTACAAGACCATGGTGCTTGCCTACGGAGCTGTGAGGGGAACGGCACCTTCTTACCGTCAGGCTCTGATCAGACCCTACACCCAAACGAGGGCACTACGTTCATCCACCTCTGGCCTGCTAGCCCCCCTACCTCTACGGAAGCACAGTTCCCGCTCAGCCCAGTCAAAGCTATTCGCTGTTCTGGCACCCCAATGGTGGAACAAGCTCCCCCACGACGCCACCTTCCGGAGACACTTGAAACCCTACCTCTTTAAGGAATACCTGGAATAGTATAAAAGTAATCCTTCTACCCCCCCTCCCCCACCCCCCCATAAAAAAAATAGTGGTTGTCCCACTGGCTATCATAAGTTGAATGCACCAATTTGTAAGTCGCTCTGGATAAGAGCGTCTGCTAAATGATGTAAATGTAAATATGTAACTAGAAATCATTTTGATATTAGCCCCTAGAATTAATATAGAGCTATGCTGACAATAATAATAATACAATGTATTTGAGAATACAGCTGCAGCAACATCCGTTTCTAATATAACACAGAAGGAAAGGGAATTGATCAGACTACTTCAGAAGCTAATTATATCACATTCAATACATTCAATAAAAATAAGCAAAAAATGGAGGATGCGGGCATCGATCCCGCTACCTCTCGCATGCTAAGCGAGCGCTCTACCATTTGAGCTAATCCCCCCAGTGTGACAAGGGTCGGTATGTGATTTGTTCTGATGTCATTCTCCGCATCTGTGCAACATTGAACTTATTCCGGCGGAAGTTTAGTGGCGAGGCCCTGTCCACAAAGAAATGGCGAGTGGAGTCGGGAGTGAGTATTATTTGTTAGCTTGCAAGTGTAGCTACAACGTATACATACATTTCAACTGTAATTTACAATATTTTCGTAACTAGCTTTATACATTATTTTCGTCTAGCTAGCCCTGCCTGGGTTTTGTTAGCTAGTGGCGCGCTCCTGGCAAGCTAACGTTTGCTAGCTTGATAACAATTGGTGTTCCTAGCTACAGAGCACGTACTTTACTAGCCGAATATGATAAATAACAAAATCAATTATTGTGTTAGATGACCTAGCTAGCTAAGTGGTGATGTTATGCTTTTCTAGATAGCTCAAAACCCTTATTTGCATTAACAACAATATTGTAGCTTGCTTGCTGTGTAGCCGGTGTTTAGCTAGCTAACTATCTAGCCTAGATTTGTGCTCTGACCTAACTTTGGTTCCCCCTGCGCCGCGACCTGTGACATCTCTCTTTCTCTCTATTGCTAGCCTACCTATTCCAAGCGTCATAATTTCCTTATATCTGTCTTTATGTAGAACACAAGATGCTGTCCGTTGGCCCGACGGAGCCGTGGTCATTGAGGGAGAAACTATGCCTAGCCTCCTCTGTAATGAGGAGCGGAGACCAAAACTGGTAAACAAACACTACTTATTTCAGTCTGTCACTGATTGCATTTACATGTTTTTTTTCTTCTTTCTAGTGTATATAGTAAACTCTTCTACATGGTAATTTGTGTGCTTGATTGTCCTCCTGCCACTGTCTGCCTTTCAGGGTGTCAGTCAGCAGAGCCATCAAGCCTTTCTCAGAGCCAGGCCGCCCTCCAGACTGGTTCTCCCAGAAGGTATGACAGAGACAACATGCTTGTCCCCATTTCATAGTCAGACTCACTGTGACACAAAACAATTAATCTCTTTCATGATGAACAAAGTTGAAAGGTCAGCTACTATATATCTAACTTGCTCTCTGTGTCTCTGAACCCCACAGCACTGTGCCTCTCAGTATTCTGAACTGCTGGAGACCACAGAGGCTCCAAAGTGAGTACACAAACACACATTTTATCTGCTTTATTTAAGTATTCTGTTGCGGAGGCAGCACTCCAGCTGTCGTCAGAGCGCTTCATGTGTCTGATGTACGGCACTGTTTCAGGCGTAAGCGTGGGGAGAAGGGTGAGGTGGTGGAGACCATCGAGGATGTGATCGTACGGAGACTCACCGCCGAGAGGATAGAGGAGCTGAAAAAACGACTGAGAGACACACAGGACAAATACAGGTCAATACACACAGGCACACTCGCTCACACACACATACAAATGTAGTCACACACACACACAGTGGACCCTTCACTATCAATACATAGCCAAAATGTATCCCTGTTCAAAGCCATTATAAATGACCGACATGCTCCATACACTCTATTTACCATGCTTGACCTTTGGCCCTGTATTTCCTGTTTTGACAGAAAGCTGAAGAAGGAGGTGGATCTGATCCAAACAGGACATCTGGACTCCCGGCTGGAGGAGCTGTGGACAGACATAACACAGTAAGAAACCGGTCTGTCTGTCTCTCGGTTTGTGTCTGCATGCCTGTCTGTCCAACAATATGTCTTTCTGTTTATTTGTTGTAAACACTACGTTGTTATTCATAGTGTACTTTCTGAACCAGATTTAGTAGTGAAGATTGTGTTTCATGATTAAAATTGTTTGGCAGGAAAAAGAAGCAGGATGAGGATGAGGCAGATCTTAAGAGGAAGGCCACAGAGACAGCCTATCAGGGTAAGCTTTGACCTAATAATAATAATCCACCTTTTGGGCACCACTGATTTGACCAATGATTAGGCTCAGGAACTACCGGTAATAATAACCCATTCTTCTTCTCTCTGGTTTCAGCTCGACAAGCGGTTAAGAACACGCCCAAGCGGGTGCCCAGTGTCACTGTACGCTCCCCTCTGAGTGCCACGAGCATGGAGGAGGCACAGACAGACACCCCGACACCCCCAACAGATACAGCCATGCCCCAGGCAGAGGAGACCTCTGGCGCCAATGTGGTAAGGGAAGGGTCTTTGTCCTGGTCACCATAACACTGTATGCATAAAGCACTTGTGTTATAAACTTTAGAGATGTTTTTGTACTGTTTTGAGTGTCTCTTCTAGCTGGTTGTTGCTAGTCTCTTGTTGTCATGGAGGAATGGTCAGTGAATGTGTTTTTTCCCCCACTCTGTACATGTATGCCCAGGGGGTGGCCGTGTTCCTACCGTCGTCGGACGCTCCAATGGCGGGGCCTGAGGAGAGAAGCCTGGGGTCTCCGGTAGATGACTCCCCACAGAAGAGGCTCCTCAGTCAGAAGTCCACGCCGCCTCCCTCACCTCTCCTTTCAGAGCTGCTGAAGAAAGGAAGCCTGATCTCTGCTAGCCCCAGACTGGTGAGAAATACACTACAAAAGAAAGTTGGAAGAGGGATTAAAAAACAGGATGATTTGTGGTAATAAGGGATGAAAGTATTTGGATTATATTGGGTTGTATTGGGTGGATCTGTTTTAAGGGAGAGGGTTCAGATTAAGTTTGACTTCACAAGCTACTGGTGTCAGGGAAATTCCTGTCTATACTATGCTGTTGTACATCCTACTAAGCTGCTCTGTAAAAACAGCTGATTTAGAAATATTTAGTACAGGGAATCGGGGATATTGTGTGTTGATGATGTAATATTGTCAGGTAGTGGAGGGGGATGTTGCTGCTGCAGGACTGGCTAACGGAGGAGTTCCTACTACAACCCCCGCTATCACAGCAGGCATTGAGGCTGCCAGTGCAGGTAACTATGGCAACCGTGATGTAACCGCTCTGGCTGGCTGGCTGTTATGTGTTTGGCTTGATGTGCATGTTAGGATGCTAAGTATTAGTGCTGTATGTGCTTTAAATGTGTTAGAAGCAAAGTGTGTGTCTGTGTCCTTTATTAGATGTACTTTGTTGTGTCCAATGGAAACAGTGCCCCCCCCCCCCATGCCCTGCCCCACCCAACACAGGTTAATACTGTCCCTCGTCTGTCTGTCAGTGTTTCTCTCTAAACCCAGCTGTCTCTCCCTTCCATCTAGAAAAGGGAAGGAATATCTAGTATATAAAGAGGAACCCTCATCTGATTTCTACTCAGTGAGACCAGTGTACCGTTGGTGGTGACACGTGCGTGATTCTCTGTCTGTCTTTCTCTCTCTGTGTCTGTGTGTTCAGTCAGAGAGGCAGGCTCAGAGGTGGTGAAGGTGGAGCTAGTGATGGAGCCAGGGCTAGTGGAGGAGGACAATGTACCTGGTTCCTACATGGGGGACGAGCTGGACCTAAGAGATATCATCGCCATCATAGAGGAGAAGGTACATGGTGTGGGGGGGGGGACTTTGAGAGGGTGGGATACAGCTTTTGACCTAGATATCTCTGTAGTAAGCGGACTTGTTTGTGCGCACTCATCACAGTCCTCTCTGTCTGTCTCTCTCTGTCTCTCTCTGTCTCTCTCTCTCTCCTCTTTCCCTCTCTCTCTTCTCTCTTCTCTCTCTCTCCCTTCCCTCTCTCCCTCTCCTCCTCTCTCATCTCTCGTCTCTCGTCTCTCTCCCTCCTTCCTCTTCTCTCTCCATCCTCTCTCGCTTCTCTCTCTCTATGTGTCCTCTCTCTCTCTCTCCATCGTCTCTCCTCTCCTCTCTATCTCTCTCTCTCTCTCTCTTCTCTCCATCTCTCTCCCTTACTCTCTCTGCTCATCACTCTGTGCAGTCTCTCTCTGTGGAGCTGCTCTAATGCTGCAGCAGTGGAGGCTGCTCTCTCTCTCTGTGAGGAGGCTGTTTCTGCTGGCCACTCCCTCTCAGGCCCATGGGAGGCCCAGGACTTGAAGGCCTCAGAGCCTGGTCCTACGGTTCAGTCTGACCCCACACAGGGGCTTCAGGCTGGGGCGGGAGCTAACCCTGGGGGCCTGGAGCCACAGACAGAGACAGAGCGTGGAAGGGGGGAAGCCGAGGAGGGGAACGGGAAGGACTGTGAAGGACAAGAAACAGTGCAGACAGACGTTGCCCCTTCTGTTGTCGCTGATGATGGCCTGGCAGGAAGTGAGGTCACAGAGGAGGGCGTTCTAGGGGAGGAAGGAGCCCTGAGCACAGCTGTGAAGACTGAAAATGAGGAGTGGACCCAGCCAGAACCAAACACACCCTGCCTAGACTCAGAAGACAGCTCCGGATCAGGGAAAGAGTCCAAGGTAATTGTCCTCTTTTCAGTAACACACACACCTCTACCAGGTGCAGTTGAATTATCATCTCTCCTTGTGCATCTTTGTGTAGGAAGTGAAGGATGAGGATGGAGGGAGCGACGGGGATCCTGATGAAGGAATGGAGATGAAGGAGTGTGGAGAGGGGGAGGGGCCCTACCTATCAGAAGTAGAACCGGCAGCCAGTGAGAGCGAGGACGGCTATGGCCCCTCCTCCCAACGCTACACCACAGCTGATTCGCTAGCCAGCAGCCCCGCCTCTTCCCAGTTGTAAGTGTCCAACCATGGTCCTTGTATCCATGGCAACTCTTAACCTGAACATGCCATCATCATAAGCCTGAATAAAGCAAGTCAACTAAATTAGGGGTGGTTTCTCTGTAGTAAGCTGTCTTGATGGGCTTTTGTTCACTCTCATCACAATCCTGTCTATCTGTCTCTCTCCCTGTCTCTCTCTCCCTCCGTCTCTCTGTCTGTCTCTCTCCCTTGACCTCTCTCCCCTTCTATCACTCACCTTTCACCCTCCTCTCTCTCTCTCTGTCTCTCTCTCTCTCTCTCTCTCCCTTGACCTCTCTCCCCTTCTATCACTCACCTTTCACCCTCCTCTCTCTCTCTTGTCTCTCTCTCTGTCTCTCTCCCTTGACCTCTCTCCCCTTCTATCACTCACCTTTCACCCTCCTCTGTCTGTCTGTCTCTCTCTCTCCTTCTCTCTCTGTCTGTCTCTCTCTTTGTCTGTCTGTCTGTCTCTCTCTCTCCCTTGACCTCTCTCCCCTTCTATCACTCACCTTTCACCCTCCTCTGTCTGTCTGTCTCTCTCCCTCTGTCTGTCTGTCTGTCTGTCTGTCTCTCTCTGTCTCTGTCTCTCCCTCCGTCTCTCTCAGTTCGATATGTGGGGAGGATCAGGAGGCCGTTCAGGCTCAGAAGATCTGGAAGAAAGCCATCATGCTGGTGTGGAGAGCAGCAGCCAATCACAGGTCAGCTCTTAGCCATTTTCCCAATAACAGCCAATCACTTAACATGTCTGAGCTACTGTAGAGTTTGACGGATCAGTTGTTGTTACCTTTGACAGGTACGCCAGTGTGTTCCTTCAGTCTGTGTCTGAAGACATCGCCCCTGGTTACCACAGCATTGTACACAGGTGAGAGTTCTATAACAGTAAACGGTTTGTTTGCTATTATATGTTATGTGCGTATGAAAATAAAAGCTATTTATTTATAAAACAATGTAAGTACATGCTAACCTTACCCTCTAAAACACACACACACAAATTCATACACAAACACACACACACACATTCACATCCAATCCCTCCCTCCCCCTCCAGACCCATGGATCTGTCGGCCATCAAGAAGAGTATCGAGGCGGGTCAGATCCGTACGACAGCAGAGTTCCAGCGTGACATCATGCTGATGTTCCAGAACGCGGTGATGTACAACAGCTCTGACCACGACGTGTTCCACATGGCCCTGGAGATGCAGAGGGACGTTCTAGAACACGTGCAGCAGTTCCTGGCCACTCAGCTCATCATGCAGACCTCAGAGTCCTCCATCTCCACCAAGAGCCTCAGAGGCCGCGAGGGGGGCCGCAAGCCAGGGGAGTCAGTGGAGAAGGTAAGACTAGACACATACGCATACAGGTAACTGCCAAAATTATGGAAACACTTGAGTAAATGAGGGATGCAAAGTATATTGAAAGCAGGTGCTTCCACACAGGTGTGGTTCTTGAGTTAATTAAGCAATTAACATCCCATCATGCTTAGGGCCGTGTATAAAAATGCTGGGCAGGCCATTATTTTGGCTACCATGGCTATGCCCCCATAGGATGACAAGTGGTCACAGAATGGTTTGATGAGCATGAACACGGTGTAAACCATATGCTGTGGCCATCTCAGTCACCAGATCTCAACCCAATTGAACACTTATGGGAGATTATGGAGCGGCACCTGAGACAGCGTTTTCCACCACCATCAACAAAACACCAAATGATGGAATTTCTTGTGGAAGAATGGTGTCGCATCCCTCCAATAGAGTTCCAGCCACTTCAATGTGTTTCCTTTATTTTGGCAGTTACCTGTACTCAACCACACACACGCACACCTCCGAGTCCAGCATCGACACCAAGGAGCCAAGACATGTACAATTGACGCCGGACTGACTGTGTACCCATCTCATGACCCAATAATCTTATCTTGCCTCTCTCCTAACCTCCCTGCCATTACAGTTCCTCTGTAGGAGCATGGAGCCTGTCTGTCTCCCCTCTCCATTACTGTCTGTCTCCCCTCTCCATTACTACTGTCTGTCTACTGTCTGTCTCCCCTCTCCATTACTACTGTCTGTCTGTCTACCCACTCCCCTCTCCATTACTACTGTCTGTCTACTGTCTGGGTCCCCTCTCCATCACTACTGTCTGTCTGTCTACTGTCTGTGTCCCCTCTCCATTACTACTGTCTGTCTGTCTACTGTCTGTGTCCCCTCTCCATTACTACTGTCTGTCTGTCTACTGTCTGGGTCCCCTCTCCATTACTACTGTCTGTCTCCCCTCTCCATTACTACTGTCTGTCTGTCTACTGTCTGTGTCCCCTCTCCATTACTACTGTCTGTCTGTCTACTGTCTGGGTCCCCTCTCCATTACTACTGTCTGTCTCCCCTCTCCATTACTACTGTCTGTCTGTCTACTGTCTGTGTCCCCTCTCCATTACTACTGTCTGTCTGTCTACTGTCTGTGTCCCCTCTCCATTACTACTGTCTGTCTGTCTACTGTCTGTGTCCCCTCTCCATTACTACTGTCTGTCTGTCTACTGTCTGGGTCCCCTCTCCATCACTACTGTGTGTCTACTGTCTGGGTCCCCTCTCCATTAGTACTGTCTGTCTCCCCTCTCCATTACTACTGTCTGTCTACTGTATGGGTCCCCTCTCCATTACTACTGTCTGTCTCCCCTCTCCATTACTACTGTCTGTCTGTCTACTGTCCGTGTCCCCTCTCCATTACTACTGTCTGTCTGTCTACTGTCTGGGTCCCCTTTCCATCACTACTGTGTGTCTACTGTCTGGGTCCCCTCTCCATTAGTACTGTCTGTCTCCCCTCTCCATTACTACTGTCTGTCTGCTGTGTTTCTCACTTGACTGTCTGAACGTGTGTCTGTCTTACTGTCTGTTCTTCTATTTGTACAATGTTGTCTTGTTTGTGTTGTTTACTCTGGGTGTGTGTGGAGAGGTGTGTGTGTGTATGCATGTGTGTGGAGAGGTGTGTGTGTATACGAGGGGTAAATGTCACTGTGTGTGGGTGTGTGGTTCTCTCTTTTCTCACTAACTGTTTGTCCTCCTACAGGACAGTGTCCCAATGGCTTCTCCCGCTTTCCTTCTCTCTCTCTTTGTAAGTATTCAGGTCGAAGGTCACAACTCACCAGGCCAAGTCAAGCGCACGCTCTGTTTCTCCGTCTCTGTCACACACACCCAAAACACTAATCTCATATTCAGAAAGGCATAAAACAGTTTGCTACTCACTGACTACACCTGTAGTCAAACACTCACCTCTCATATTAACAAACACATCCGTCACCGTCACTACATTTTTAACATTCGGTATTTGATTTTTAAATGGACCCATCCTGGTTGTGTGTACGTGTGTACGTGTGTTCGTTCATTTCTCAACAAATGCCTTTTTTGTGTATCCAGTGGTTGTCTTCAACTTCTCGTCTGATCCATCGCTTTTCTTTCTTCTCTGGTTTTCCTCTGGTGGGAGATCGTCTTGTGTTTTTAACGGGCCAACCACGAGCCATCGCTGGGTTTTCAACCTGGTGTCAGACTGACCTTCACCCACCTCTCTTCCCTGCAGGACGGGGGCACAAGAGGGCGCCGCTGTGCTATTGAAGCAGACATGAAGATGAAGAAATAACCAGAGAGTCAAAAGGCAGTAGGACAGTAGGGTGCCAACAGGCCAGAGGGCTGTAGGTTTAAAGAGAGACTTGATGTAGTGATTGGACGATTTTAACCAGAGAATGTTTGGTGGAGTTGTTACTGTTCTGTGAAGTTGGTTGTTTGAGTTTAATCAAAGAGTTTTCGGTTCGATGGTGTGTGTCAGAGATAGGGCGAGCAGGGCTGCAGTCTTCTGGTATTCTCTCCAGGCCATTTCTGATTTATCATTGTGTACCATAGTTGTGTACTGTTTAATTAACTAACTTAAGTCTATGATTGTATTTAAAGCCAGTACACTAGATATCCAGACATCATATGATTCTGATTGACAGTTGCCACTGGTAACCAGCAGACACTGCAGCCCTGGAGGACTGAATCTGTTTTACTACTGCAGTACTACAGTAGTACTAAAGTACTAGTGACTGACTGACTTGGGGCCCCATTGTTTTGTGTATAGGATGTAGCCAACTGCAAAATATGCTGCAAGGAATCATGATCCCACTGGGCACAAACTGGTTGAATCAACGTTGTTTCAATGTAACTGAACAAAAATATAAACGCAACATGCAACAATTCCCTCCCCAGACGATCCCGCAGGTCCGGTGAAGAAGCCATATGTGGAGGTCCTGGGCTGGCGTGGTTACACGTGGTCTGCGGTTGTGAGGCCGGTTGGACGTACTGCCAAATTCTCTAAAACGACGTTGGAGGCGGCTTATGGTAGAGAAATGAACATTCAGTTCTCTGGCAACAGCTCTGGTGGACATTCCTGCAGTCAGCATGCTAATTGCGTGCTCGCTCAACACTTATGGCATTGTGTTGTGTGACAAAACGGCACATTTTAGAGAGGCCTTTTACTGTCCCCAGCACAAGGTACACCTGTGTAATGATCGTGCTGTTTAATCAGTTTCTTGATATGCTATGCCTGTCAGGTGGATGGATTATCTTGGAAAATGATAAATACTCACTAACAGGGATGTAAACAAATTTGTGCACAACATTTGAGAGAAATAAGCATTTTGTGCGCATGGAAGATTTCTGGGAACTTTTATTTCAGCTCATGAAACATGGGACCAACACTTTACATGTTGCGTTTATAATTTTTGTTAAGTATATTTGGAAAATACCATAGAAATAAGAATGAATAGAACGGGCTTCAAACCTCTAACCCTGGCAATTAATTCACTGGTTAACTCATGGGTACACTCGCAATGGCTGCCATGTATTGTGATGCAATAATTTCCATGGTATTTTGGAATGTTCATTCAAATGATGCTAACTGATGTGACTCATGGAATGTATTTTTTGTCATGTCAATTGAGTTGACTCAACAAATCACAGCACAGATTGAAGGTACACTTCCTGTTTTTACTTCCTGGCATGTGGTCCTCTGTAGCTCAATTGGTAGAGCATGGCGCTTGTAACGCCAGGGTAGTGGGTTCGATCCCCGGGACCACCCATACGTAAAAATGTATGCACACATGACTGTAAGTCGCTTTGGATAAAAGCGTCTGCTAAATGGCATATTATATTATATTATTACACTCAAAATGGCTGCCAGTCCACCCATTATGCCATCATTGACTTGAATGGAGACGCCCTTTCTATTCATTTGTATTTCTATGGAACATACATTGGATTTGCAAAAAGTCATCAAACTGTTGTTTTGAGGGTGAATTTTCAACCACAGAATTATGTAATCATAGTAACCAATTTTGCACATAGATAAACCGTGTATAAAATCTGTTGAATTTGTACCTTTGAAACAATGTCTGATCTTCAACGTTATATCCACTATTTTTTTACAATTGGCTGGGCAGCACCTCCTACTGCAGAGTTATTCTACACAGCTGTCCATTTGGTCTCCCATCCAGAGTTTTAACCAAGCCCAGCTTTGATATTTGTCACTGACTACCAATGTTGCTATCGAAGTCATTCCAAAGGGTAGGTTTAACAGAGCAAATGAAATATAACCATACACTATAATTAATATCATCAATGATAACATTTAGGCCTATATAGCATTTGCAAAGTCATCAACAGCTGTTGTTTCAATTCAACTAAAAATAGACAATACATATAGGCCTAGAGTTTCAAGCTCTGCTTGATGTCAAACGTAATCTACAAGTGAACTATTAATATGTTGGAATCATGTCTCCATTTCAACCAAAAAGTTAATAGGACTAAATCAAATCAAACTTTAAATGCACTTTAAATAAAGTTTGATTTGATTTAGTCCTATTCTTTAACTTTTTAGTTGAGTTGGAGACGTGAATCCAACATATAAATGATTAATTGGTAGACAAACTGGAATTAGTCGCACTGTCAGTGGCTAAAAAAATATACATCTCCTTCGAATGTTGATATTTGGTTGCGTTGACAACCAAACCCAATTCAATATCACTTTTGCAATACAGTAAAACACCTATTAACTTGATGACAAGTTAACAAATCATATGTTGGATTCTCTAAATAAACCAAAAATAAAAGTTAAAGAATGGGATTAAACCAGTGACAGATGAAACTATACATCTCCTTTAAATGTTGATATTTGGTTGAGTTGTCAAGCTAACACAATTCGATATGACTTTTGTAATACAGTAAATAGCCTGAAGTTAAGGCACTTACAAACTAATGTAACTGTTTTTATTCAACCTTTAAATGAGTAGCACATCCATGGCCACATTGGTTACTGTAACTATCAATGTCTTACGTAATCATAGAAAGCCTTAATGTTCATGAGGGCATGCAAAGGTCGCAGGTCTGTGGAGATCTTCACAATATAAAATATCTGTGCAGAATCTAACAGCATTGATCACTTGCACTATTAATGTAATCTCAACTGCAGTCCAGGTAATTTGGTTGTGCTATTAGATGAAGCACAGTGATGACACATTAAGTTGTATAAATACAAAATGACATTGTATTCCCATTTGAACTTTGTTGTGCTTTTAAATCATTGAAAGTGCAGTGATAAAATATTTAATGACAACTAAACCAAAAAATCAGACAGTTTTTCCATTGGAATTTGGTTGTGCTTTTAGATCAGGGGTGTCAAAGTCAAATGGACGGAGGGCCAAATAAAAAATTTAGCTACAAGCCGAGGGCCGGACTGTTCGAATGTTCATTGAACATTTTTTAAATGACGCATATAGTCTAGTGAACCTAATTGAACCTACTGAAAACCTAACAAATATATTCCAATATGATCAGATAAATAAAGCAATATTTTCTTATGGCTCTGTCAGTAATCTTTAATTTTCAACAGACACAAAAGACAAATTTCCTTTATATAAAAATCCCCATAACATGAACATTAAATGAAAGAAACCGGTATTCAAGGCACCATCAGTAGCCTATATTTTCTATTTTAGCAAAAGTGGGCTAAATTTACTTCAAAGAAAAAAACAATAATAGCAATTTTCTATCATCCACTCAACTGAAATATTTTTAAAATATAATTGGATTGAAATACAATAAAATAAAGTGCAAAAATCTATTAATCAAAAACAACACTTTGTTTAAGGAGAAGTAACATGCAGTGAAAACAAATATTAAACTTTAACTTTTAAACTTGAACTGAGTAAAAACTCTAAATATGTGATTGCACAGTAATGTTCACTTGTTTGAGGTTGAGGGTGATACTTGGTGGTGTCCCATCTTTTCCACAAGTTCATCAATGTTCGGGGTAAGGCTCTGAGCTGAGGAAATCCTCAGAATTGAGTGGAGGTGTTCAGCAGTAAGTCGACTTCTGTGTGATGTTTTGTTCAGGTTCATCAAAGAAAACAGTTGTTCACACAGGTATGTGCTGCCAAACATAGACAACGTTTGAGCAGCCTGGATGCGCAGCTGGGGCATTGTGTCGGGGAGGAAACGGGCGAACTCCGCAGCACCCACTGCCGCATATTTTGCCCTCAGTGCATCATTGCATTGGAGGTCAATCAACTCCATTTGGAGGTTTGGTGGTGAGCTTTCCACGTCAACAGCAAATGGGTTACCGAGCAGTTCCAACCTGCTTTTTTGTGCTTCAAAGTCAGCAAATCGGCGTCGAAAGTCAGCGGCAAGCATACCTATTTTATCAGCCAACTGTGCGCTCGGGAACGCACTGGTAGAGAGCTTCTCTTTCATGGTCTGGCAGCTGGGAAAGTGGCTCAAATTTTCTTTCCGCATCTGCGTCTCCCACAGAGTCAGTTTGGTTTTAAATGCCTTCACTGTACTGTACATATCAGAGATGACATGATCCCGACCCTGCAGCTGCAAGTTCATTGCATTCAGATGACTCGTAATGTCACACAGAAAAGCCATTTCACACAGAAACATTTCGTCTCGGAGTTGTGTTGTGTCTTTCCCTTTGCTGTCCAAGAACAGACAAATCTCCTCACGAAGCTCGAAACATCTTTGAAGCACCTTTCCCTGGCTTAGCCATCGCACCTCTGTGTGATAAGGCAAATCACCATGCTCCGTTTCTAACTCCGTCAGAAATGCCTTGAACTGGCGGTGATTCAAACCTTTGGCTCTGATAAAGTTAACTGTGCGCGTGATGATGCTCATTACATGCTCCATTTTCAAGGCTTTACCGCACAACGCTTCCTGGTGTATGATACAATGATAAGCTGTCAGCTCACCTGTCGCGTTTTCCTCTTGCATCTTTTCCCGTATCTTCGCCACCAGTCCGCTCCTGTGTCCACACATCGCAGGTGCTCCGTCGGTTGTCAAACCCACGAGTTTTTCCCAAGGCAGCTCCATCTCATTTACACATCTTGACACCTCTTCATACAAATCATGCCCCGTAGTTGTGCCATGCATAGGACGTAAAGCCAAAAACTCCTCTGTCACGCTTAGGCTGGAGTCCACTCCGCGGATGAAAATTGACAACTGGGCAATGTCAGAAATGTCGGTGCTCTCATCCACAGCCAAGGAATATGCAATGAAATCTTTTCCCTTTTTCACAAGCTGCTCTTTTAGATTGATGGACAACTGGTCTACTCTCTCGGCAATGGTGTTTCTGCTCAGACTCACATTTAAAAAGAGTTGCCTTTTTTCTGGGCAAACTTCGTCACAAACTTTAATCATGCAGTTTTTGATGAAATCCCCCTCCGTAAATGGCCGGGCTGATTTAGCGATCTCTTCTGCCAAAATAAAACTGGCCTTGACAGCAGCCTGGCCTTGTGATTTGGCTTTTTTGAACAGAGCCTGTCGAGATTTGAGGCCTCGTTTTAATTCCTCTGCCTTTTGTAGCCTTTGTTCCATGTCCATATTCTTGTTTTTGTCCGCGTGTTTCGTTTCATAATGTCGTCTCAGATTACACTCTTTCAGTACCGCCACACTTTCTCCACACAGAAGACACACAGGTTTTCCAGCTACCTCCGTGAACATATACTCCGACTCCCACCTTGTTTGAAACCCCCGGTTCTCAGTGTCCACCTTCCGTTTTGCCATTTTTGATGGGTATCTGAAAGTTAATTTTACTGTGATGCTGACGACTGCTGTGCCAATAAATATTGAAATGAAGCAGCCTACTGCTCGGTGCGTCACCGTTGCATTGTGGGAAATGTAGTATTGGTGCGTGTAAAAGATCTGCGGGCTGCCGGCTTGCTGCGGTCTGCGGGCCGGTTCTAATAATAAATCAAGATCATCCCAGGGGCCGTAAAAAACCTTCTCGCGGGCCGGATGTGGCCCGCGGGCCTTGACTCTGACATATGTGTTTTAGATGGTTGAAAGCATAGTGATAACCCATTGGGAATTCAACAAACTTCTGGCTGTCTTGAGTGGGTTAATAAAGGTTGAAATCTCTGATCAACGTCAACCAAGAATTACCCACATTTCCACATGTGCCCAGTGGGATGTGTTTACTGTATGTTAGCGGGAGTTCAAAAGAGTAGTAACTGAGTGTTGAACTTTATGTACAGTTTAGTTTTTTCATTTGTGTGTTTTGTTCAACTGTTTATTAGAGTAAGAATTTAAAACAATGGTAATGTCAGTCTAAACTTTGACAGACCCAAGTTGAGACCTTCTGGTCTTGGGTATGGAGTATAGACATTGAAGTTTGACAGCTTTTATGATTAAAAGAGTATGGCAACACTGAAAAGGATACTGTGCAAAAACATTTTATTTCAGTTTAACAATACTGCAAGACAGAAACATTCGGACTCAGGGTTAGGGGCAATACCAGCTTGCCTTCCCGCTGCCTTCACAGCCAACATGAGGTTTCCATGGTTTTACAAAGGAATTGTGCAAGTCGGTTGCAAAAAAACAACCCATGGCTGTTACATTGTACAGATGTAGGATCTTAATATGATCACCCTGCAATGCAGGAAAAGGTTTACTTGTGTATTTGAGATTTAAAAGGGCTTCTGAAGTTTAATTTCCACTTTGAAATTTCAGACATGATTTTCTCTTACGAAAGATGTATCAACCCTTACAAAACTGTCCATTAATTATAATCCACATTTCCTGTTGCTGCAGGATTATTTTCCTGCTGTAGCAAACTGGCTCAAATGAAGATCTTACATTTGTACAGAACTGTAACACATTTCACCCCCTGCTAGAACCAGCAAGGTAACATGCATTCTGTGCTTTTTTTCTAACTAGGTCAACTCAAATTTCAGCCATACAAAACTTCTAGGGTAACATTCCCTCCTTGTCACCTACACATAAGTATATTTCTTTTCACAATTGAGCTGACTGTTCCAGTGATTTTCCAGTGCATATACTGTGCAAAACTCCAATACAGGTGTACATTGACATGCATTAAGTACACAAGAAAAACAACAAAGTAGTGCTGAGATTTTTCTCCTAAAAAGGAATGTAGAAACATATGCCACGTGTTGATCCCTGATCAGAAATTATCTATCTCAGCAAAACTCGTGTATGACAGGGCTCGCGGAGGAATACAATTTATTCTTGACCAGCCGGTACTGGGGTCGTAGTTTCAACACCTTGTCGGTAACAAACATGTGTTTGAGAGGAGGCCAACCATCTTTGTCCAGTTTGAACACTATGGACAGCTCGAAGGTAGGAGTGACGGTGGGGTCGGGTGATATAGTACCCAGCGTCTGCAGGCCCTGTTGTGTCTCCAAATAAACCTGTATGAAGGCCCCACGGAGCCCACACGGTTCTCCAACTGAGGAGTGCACCACGTCCCGGGCAACCTTGGCGGTCAGCGGGCGGGGAAGCAGCAGCACCCGGCAGCGCAGATTCGATTCTTTAGCTTCAGAGAGACAACCCTCGATCTGCCTGGTCATGTCCTGCTGGAGTATTCTCTCCTCACTGTCTAGAGTAATTTCAGAGTCCAGACCTGGAAAAGAGAATGGTGTGTTAATATCAATATATTGCTGGTGAACCATGAGTTTAAGTTGTACAGCCTATGCTTTTGTATTACAGACATTTGATAAGGCAGGGGCTATATTTAGGCCTATTCTATATAGAGCCTATACTGTTTCACCTAGGCCTATTTACTGAAGTTATTTAGCCTAATATTCAATAGCATTGCAATAATACATTTAAACCAGTACGAAACATGTTTGCACTCACTAGGTTACTGTAAGTCGCTCAGGATAAGAGCGTCTGCTAAATGACTCAAATGTAACATTGTAATAGACTATTCTTATATATTGCGCAACATTTTTACATTGATCGTCAAAATAAGGCAATGTATCAGCAACTTTAAAAACGAGAGACAGAGGTCGGTTTAATTAATGAACTTTCAAGAACAGACCATCAGCTGACAGTCATGAGCAGTAGGCTACAGACTGTAGAGCAGGGTTCTTCAATTCCGGTCCTGGAGGGCCGAAACACCTCGGTTTTTCATCCTCTCCTTCTAATCAGGGGCTAATTCAGACCTGGGACACCAGGTGAGTGCAATTAACTACCAGGTAGAAATAAAAAACAGAAGTGTTTCGGCCCTCCAGGACCGGAATTGAAGAACCCTGCTGTAGAGTGTAGACTATCTGGCTGCATCAGCTACGTTGTATCAGTGCAGGCTACTATCTGTGGCCGCTTGGAATGGTCAAAACCTATGAGTCGTAGGCTAAAGTTCGACAAAAGGCCTATAAAAAGTCACCAGAATTAACTGACAGTTATAATGTGCCATCATTTATAACAGCACATATAGCCGATGAAAACTTAGATTTCAGAACAGAGCCTTACTTGAGGAGTTCCTTTCCTTGATGAATTCGCAACTTTCAAGGCTGCCCCGACGCGTATCTTTTTTGTTGCTCGATGTGATTTGATAGAGAAACTTTCGCTCGACTACGCTATCCTCTACAGACATAATGAGCATTCCGTGTCCGAGGACCAAAGCCGGGGTATAGACCATTGTGATTTTTTCTCTATCTCCAATACTCCACTCAGTGATACAGGTTTTCGGTCTATTCTCTCCATGTAGGCGTCAGTTGATTGAAGTCGCTGGGGCTCTCACCTTGTTTAAATAGTAATTCCTTGGTTGCATCAGCTGCTCACGTGTGGGACGGCCTCCTTTGTTACCATAGCAGCGCGACAGTGAGCAACTGCTGGAAGGGGTTGAATCAGCCTCACGCGACATGCCTAGACATTGCTCTTACTGGCTACTCAATACTGACAATATCACCCGTTTTATCCAGTATTCTGTATTCTATTCCATTCATGTTATTAGAAAGGTTTATTGTTAGGTTATCAAAAAAGTTTAAGTAACAAACACTCATACACTACATGACCAAAAGTATGTGGACACCTTCTCGTTGAACATCTCATTCCAAAATCATGGGCATTAATATGGAGTTGGTCCCCTCTTTGCTGCTATAACAGCCTCCACTCTTCTGGGAAGCCTTTCCACTAGATGTTGGAACATTGCTGTGGGGAATTGCTTCCATTCAGCCACAAGAGCATTAGTGAGGTCAGGCACTGATGTTGGGCGATTAGGCCTGTCTTGCAGTCTGTGTTCCAGTTCATCCGAAAGGTGTTAGATGGGGTTGAGGTCAGGGCTCTGTGCAGGCCAGGCAAGTTCTTCTACACCGATCTCGACAAACCATTTATATATGGACCTCGCTTTGTGCACGGGGGCATTGTCATGCTGAAACAGGAAAGGGCCTTCCCCAAACTGTTGCCACAAAGATGGAAGCACAGAATCTTCTAGAATGTCATTGTATGCTGTATTGTTAAGATTTCCCTTCACTGAAACTAAGGGGCCTAGCCCGAACCATGAAAAACAGCCCCAGACCATTATTCCTCCTCCACCAAACTTGACAGTTGGCACTATGCATCCGGCAGGTAGCGTTCTCCTGGCATCCGCCAAACGCAGATTAGTCCTTCGGACTGCCAGATGGTGAAGCGTGATTAATCACTCCAGAGAACGCGTTTCCACTGCTCCAGAGTCCAATGGTGGCGAGCTTTACACCACCACTCCAGCAACGCTTGGCATTGCGCATGGTGATCTTAGGCTTGTGTGTGGCTGCTCGGCCATGGAAACCCATTTCATGAAGCTCCCGACGAACAGTTCTTGTGCTGACGTTGCTTCCAGAGGCAGTTTGGAACTCAGTAGTGGGCCTACCACTTCACGGCTGAACCTTTGTTGCTCCTAGATGTTTCCACTACACAATAACAGCACTTACAGTTCACCAGGGCAAAAATTTGATGAACTGACTTGTTGGAAAGGTGGCATCCTATGACGGTGCCACGTTGAAAGTCACAGATCTTAGTCATTCTACTGCCAGTGTTTGTCTATGGAGATTGCATGGCTGTGTGCTCGATTTTATACCCCTGTTAGCAATGGGTGTGGCTGAAATCACAGAATCCACTAATTTGAAGGGGTGTCCACATACTTTTGTATATATAGTGTATTTATAACAAATTGTTTTATATTGTTCTAAACATAAATATAATTGATGGATACCCATGCCTAATGTAGTCCTAAAAAGGTAGGCTTAGGTTCAATAACCCACTAAACATTATTTATTGGATATTGGAGGTGGTTGGCTTGATTCCCTTTTGGTGAATCCCTTCATAAATATGTCACATGAGGATTCTGGTATACACTTGAATACACTCACTGCTCTGCTCACTACTTGTGCCAGCCGGTCTAGACAAGGCCAGCCCAGCCAGCCACGAGCCTTACCTGGGCTGAGTCACAGGTGAATCACATCACATGACCTGACACTCACTGATCAGACAGGAAGGGGATTTCCTCTGAACCTTGGACCCTCCCCCTCCCCCTCTCCCTCTCTCCCCATCCCCCCATCTCCCCCTCTCCCCCTCTCCCTCTCTCCCCCTCTCCCCCCCCCTCTCTCCCTCTCCCCCTCTCCCTCCCCTCTCCCCCTCTCCCTCTCTCCCCCTCTCCCTTTGCTTTTTCAACACCCACACCACATAATTTCAGATATGGTAAAATGAATGAGTTTATGAAAGAGTAAATCTTTTCTCAGCACGCCACTCTTTCACACACAGGCCTTGTAATGTGTATTGGAAATGAAAATACAAGTCTCACACTATCTATACATCTATGTGCTATTTTTAGGCTCACATGTTGCTGGACCTGTCGAGAATCTATGACTAGACCCAGGAAGGAGTCTGACTGTAAAATCGTTCAGTTATGAGTCACAGAAAGGGACATTTCCCCTTTTAAGGCTTCACCTGTACACCATCAGCCTATCATCTTCAGCCCTGCCCAGATCGTGTGAGGTTCTGGCTATCGTTATGACGTCTAAACAGTAATTAGAACGTTTACTGTCTTTCTATGGAAGTGAAGGGAAACTACCGAATGTGTTGGTCTGTGGAGCTTACCACTGTGTCTGGCTTGGCTGATGCAGACATCCTCTCGGCTTGCATTTCACATGTTTTTTTTTGTGTGTAAGTGCGTGTATCCATGTGTTTGCGTGTGTTTGCTCACAGTATCAGCTTCCTCATCAGATTGAGAACAGGAAATGATTTACCTAATTCATGAAATGAATCAAATACTACTGTTCCATATACACTCTTAGAAAAAATGTGCTATCTCGAACCTAAAAGGATTCTTTAGCTGTCCCCATAGGAGAACCGTTTGAAGAACCCTTTTTGGTTCCAGGTAGAATCCTTTTGGTTCCAGGTAGAACCCCTTTGAGTTTTATGTAGAACCCTTTCCGTAGAGAGTTCTACATGAAACCCAAAAGGGTTCTACCTGGAACCAAAAAGGGTTATCCTATGGGGGACAGCCGAAGAACCCTTTTGGAACCCTTTTTTCTAAGAGTGTATCACTGATGTGCCCTATTTCGTCAAAATATTCTATCCTTCAAGCATATTCAGTGAAGTTGAGAAACTGTCAGCCCAGAACACGTCACCTGCTTGCTAGCTCCTGCATGGTCAATCACCAGGTCATGTGTTGCTGTCTAGAAAAATCTACAACCTTGAATCCATACACCTGCTGGATAGTTTGAACTTTTCTAAACAGTATCCAAGTTAGCAGTGTCTTTATGTCATTCACTCAATGTCAACGATTCTGATGTGGATGCGGTGGTGGAGTCAAGCGCAGGACACAGAAGAATAGTCAAGACGATTTTTACTAGATACTTAGTAAGGCACACACAAAAATAACAGCCTCCCAAAAAAACACACGAGGTGTAACAAAATACGCGAGTGCGTAAAATACCCACTAAGGCCACGGACACAGAACCTAAACATGCAGACAGGCGGACAATAACACACAACATGCAAACCTAACAAAGGGGAACTTATAGGATACATAATCATGACAGAATACGAGACAGGTGCACCAACTAGACATAACCAAACAAACATCGAAAACCTCAAGCGGTAGTAGCTAGTACTCCGGGGACGACGAACGCCGAAGCCTGCCTGAGCAAGGAGGAGGAGCAGCCTCGGCGGTCTCCGTGACAGTACCCCCCCCCCCCCCCCCCCCAGGGCGGGGCGCGTAGGATGACTCCGGTGGAACTCCGTCAGGAGGGAGGGATCTAAAATGTCCCTCCTAGGCACCCAGCACCGTTCCTCCGGTCCGTACCCCTCCCACTCCACGAGATACTGCAGACCCCCCATCCGACGTCTCGAATCTACGATGGACCGGACTGAGTACGCCGGAGCCCCCTCGATGTCCAGTGGGGGCGGAGGAGTCTCCCGTATCTCACTGTCCTGGAGTGGATCAGCTACCACCGGCCTGAGGAGAGACACATGGAACGAGGGGTTAATGCGATAATCATTAGGCAATTGTAACCTGTAACAAACCTCGTTCAATCTCCTCAGGACTTTAAATGGCCCCACAAACCGCTGACCCAGCCTCCGGCAGGGCAGGCGAAGGGGCAGGTTTCGAGTCGAGAGCCAGACCCGGTCTCCTGGTGCATACACCGGAGCCTCACTGCGGTGGCGATCGGCGCTCGCCTTTTGCCGCCTGATGGCACGCTGCAAATGAACGTGCGCAGCATTCCACGTCTCCTCCGAGCGCCGAAACCACTCGTCCACCGCAGGGGCCTCGATCTGGCTCTGATGCCAAGGTGCCAGAACCGGCTGGTAACCTAACACACACTGGAAAGGTGTCAGGTTAGTAGATGAATGACGGAGGGAGTTCTGGGCTATCTCTGCCCAGGGAATATATCCCGACCACTCCCCCTGCCGGTCCTGGCAATATGATCTCAGAAACCTACCCACATCCTGGTTCACTCTCTCCACCTGCCCATTACTCTCAGGGTGAAAACCCGAGGTAAGGCTAACCGAGACCCCCAAGCGTTCCATGAACGCCCTCCAGACTCTAGAGGTGAATTGGGAACCCCGATCAGACACTATATCCTCGGGTACCCCGTAGTGCCGGAAGACGTGGGTAAACAAAGCCTCAGCAGTCTGTAGGGCAGTAGGGAGACCCGGCATTGGGATGAGACGACAGGCTTTAGAGAACCGATCCACAACGACCAGAATGGTGGTATTCCCCTGGGAGGGGGGAAGGTGCGTGACAAAGTCTACCGATAGGTGAGACCACGGCCGTTGTGGAACGGGTAGGGGTTGTAACTTCCCCCTGGGCAGGTGTCTAGGCGCCTTACACTGAGCGCACACCGAGCAGGAGGAGACATAAACCCTCACGTCCCTAGCCAATGTTGGCCACCAGTACTTGTCACTAAGGCAGCGCACTGTCCGGCCGATACCAGGATGTCCAGAGGAGGGTGACGTATGAGCCCAATATATGAGACGATCACGAATCTCGAGCGGAACGTACGTCCGCCCCACCGGACACTCTGGAGGAGTAGGGTCGGTGCGTAACGCCCGCTCGATCTCCGCATCGACCTCCCACACCACCGGTGCCACCAGACAAGACTCCGGCAGTATGGGCGTGGGCTCAATGGACCTCTCCTCCGCATCATATCGCCGAGACAGGGCGTCTGCCTTACCGTTCTGGGACCCTGGGATGTACGTGAGCTTAAACACAAACCGGGCCAGGAACATGTTCCACCTAGCATGCCGAGGGTTCAGTCTCCTAGCTGCCCGGATGTACTCCAGGTTACGATGGTCGGTCAGAATGAGAAAAGGGTGTTGAGCCCCCTCAAGCCAATGCCTCCACACCTTTAGGGCTTGAACCACGGCGAGCAGCTCCCTGTCCCCCACGTCGTAATTACGTTCGGCCGGGCTGAGCTTCTTAGAGTAAAAAGCGCAGGGCCGGAGTTTAGGAGGCGTGCCTGAGCGTTGAGACAGTACAGCCCCAATACCGGCCTCTGACGCGTCCACCTCCACCTGGAACGCTAAAGCGGGATCCGGATGCGCCAGCACAGGAGCAGAGGTGAACAGGTCCTTCAGTTTACAAAAGGCCCTGTCCGCCTCAGCTGACCACTGCAAACGCACCGGGACCCCCTTCAGCAGGGAGGTGATGGGAGCTGCCACCTGTCCAAAACCCCGGATAAACCTCCGGTAGTAATTAGCAAAACCCCAAAACCACTGCACTTCCTTAACCGTGGTTGGAGTCTGCCAATTACGCACGGCTGAAACGCAGTCAATCTCCATCTTCACCCCTGACGCGGACAATTGATGGCCCATGAAGGAGATGGACTCCTGGAAAAACAGACATTTCTCTGCCTTGACATACAAGTCATGCTCCAACAGCCTACCCAACACTCGACGCACCAGGGCTACATGCTCGGCTCGTGTAGAAGAGTAAACTAGTATGTCGTCAATATACACTACTACCCTGCCCATGCAAATCCCGGAAGATCTCGTCCACAAAGGATTGGAAGACTGAAGGAGCATTCATTAACCCGTATGGCATGACGAGATACTCGTAGTGACCCGAGGTGGTACTAAATGCTGTCTTCCATTCATCTCCCTCCCTAATACGCACCAAGTTGTAGGTGCTCCTGAGATCCAGTTTTGTGAAGAAACGCGCTCCGTGTAATGATTCCTTCATACTCGCAATCAGAGGGAGTGGATAACTGTATTTTACAGTGATCTGATTGAGACTACGGTAATCAATACACGGGCGCAAACCTCCATCCTTCTTCACAAAAAAGAAACTCGAGGACGCAGGGGAAGTGGAGGGCCGTATGTATCCCTGTCTCAGAGACTCGGCTATGTATGTCTCCATAGCTACCTTCTCCTCTTGAGACAGAGGATACACATGACTACGTGGAAGTGCAGCACCTGCCTGGAGGTCTATCGCACAATCCCCCTGTCTATGAGGTGGCAATCGCGTCGCCCTAGTCTTGCTGAACACTAGTGCCAAATCCTCATACTCAGGAGGAATGTGCAGTGCGGGCAATTGGTTCGGACTCTCCACCGTGGTCGCCCCTACGGAAACACCTAGACATCGCCCAACACACTGGGCAGACCATTCCTTAAGAGCCCTCTGTTGCCACGAAATGGTGGGGTCATGGGCGATTAACCAAGGAAGCCCCAGCATCACGGGATACGCAGGAGAGTCGATCAGATATAACTGAATGATCTCCTCATGACCCCCCTGCGCCTTCATCTTTAGTGGCGCTGTGACCTCCCTAATCAACCCAGATCCCAACGGACGGCTATCTAAGGCATGAATCTGGAAAGGCACCTCTACTGGTCGGAGGGAAATCCCTAACTGAACACAACATTTACGATCAATAAAATTCCCAGCTGCACCTGAATCGACTAGCGCCTTATGCTGGGAATGAGATGCAACCTGGGGGAATACTACAGGTATACATATGTGACCAACAGAGAGCTCTGGGTGAGTTGGGCGCCTACTCACCTGAAATGACTCCCCAGTGCGTGACCTGTTGCCTCGATCCCCTGGAGACCCTCCCCAGCACCGAACCGCAGTGTGTCCTCTACGGCCACAGTTGGTGCAGGGGACGGCCTCCCTCCAGGTCTCTCTCCTCCTCTCTCTAGCGCCAGCACCCCCGAGCTCCATAGGGCTCGGCTCGGAGGTGCTGGGGGATGGAATGGACGGCCCCAACTCCGGACGTCCGCGGGTGGCCAGCAGGGTATCCAGACGGATTGACATGTCCACCAGCTGGTCGAAGGTTAAATTGGTGTCCCTGCAGGCCAACTCTCGTCGAACGTCCTCTCGCAGGCTGCACCGATAGTGGTCGATGAGGGCCCTCTCATTCCACCCCGCATCTGCCGCTAGAGTCCGGAAGTCCAGGGCGAACTCCTGTGCGCTCCTCCTCCCCTGTCGGAGGTGGAACAGACGCTCCCCCGCCGCTTTACCCTCTGGGGGATGATCGAAAACAGCCCTGAAGCGGCGGGAGAACTCTGCGTAGCTGATGGTGGCGGCGTCTATTCCCCTCCATTCGGCATTGGCCCACTCTAAAGCCTTGCCTGAGAGACAGGAGATGAGGGCGGAAACACTCTCGTATCCCGAGGGCGCCGGGTGTATAGTTGCCAGGTAGAGCTCCACCTGAAGGAGGAACCCCTGACACCCGGCTGCGGTGCCATCATATGCCCTCGGGAGCGAGAGCCGAATCCCACTGGACTCCGGAGCTGGTATGATAGGGCTGGCCGATGGTGGTGGTACGGTAGGAGGAGGTGTGGGCAAGCCTCCTCTCTCCAATCGGCGCAGGGTGTTCATAACCTCTTGCATGGCGGCGCCGAGTTGCTGGATCATGGCGATCTGGCTGCTGACCCGCTCCTCCAGTGACTCGGTCACCGCTGCTGCTGCTCCTGCTGACTCCATAGGTGGTGTGTTATTCTGTCAACGATTCTGATGTGGATGCGGTGGTGGAGTCAAGCGCAGGACACAGAAGAATAGTCAAGACGATTTTTACTAGATACTTAGTAAGGCACACACAAAAATAACAGCCTCCCAAAAAAACACACGAGGTGTAACAAAATACGCGAGTGCGTAAAATACCCACTAAGGCCACGGACACAGAACCTAAACATGCGGACAATAACACACAACATGCAAACCTAACAAAGGGGAACTTATAGGAGACATAATCATGACAGAATACGAGACAGGTGCACCAACTAGACATAACCAAACAAACATCGAAAACCTCAAGCGGTAGTAGCTAGTACTCCGGGGACGACGAACGCCGAAGCCTGCCCGAGCAAGGAGGAGGAGCAGCCTCGGCGGTCTCCGTGACACTCAATCAAATGGATATGGTATCTGTTGCAATCCCAAATACGTGTTTCAAAAGGAATCATCCGGATCATGTGTGTGTGTGCGTGTGCATGTGCATGTGTACACTGTAGATAGATAACATTCCTGGTAACTTGTGACTCAGGCTCTGTTCTCCTCTGTATGATCAGCCCAGGCTCAGCCCACTCCCTTGCCCCAGGCCAGGCATGCAGATATGGGATCTTTCTCTTTCCTCTCAAATTCAAGCTCCTTTATTGGCATGAAAAACATTGAGTTGTACATTGCGTTGTATACATTGTTGCCAAAGCAGTTGCCAAAGAAATATAACAAATATAAAAGTCTAAACACGGAAAATGAAACTATAACTAACTTATAACTAACTGTCATCCTCACCATTATATCAGTACTAACTACCATCATCATTACTACTACTACAACTACCACCATCATTACACTGACAACACCTACCATCATTACACGGCTATCATTACCATCACCCCCTACGACCTCAATATAATATAAAACTAATAGGTACTTGTAATACACAATATATATTATAAGTTTACTGCTTACTACGATTTTATTATTCATGTCCTCAGCTCGTCCTCTCTTCTCTCTCTTCTCTCTCTCCCTTTTCTCATCGCACTCTCTCTCTGTCTCTCTCTCTCTCTCTCTCTTCTCTCTCTCTCTCTCTCTCTCTCTCTCCATCTCTCTCTCTCTCTCTCTCTCTCTCTCTCGTCTCTCTCCTCTCTCTCTCATCTGCTCCTCTCTCTCTCTTTCTCTCTCTCTCTTCTTCTGCTCTCTCTCTCTCTCTCTCTCTCTCTCTCCTCCTCTCTCTCTCTCTCTCACTCTCTCTCGTTCTCTCCGCTCCTCCTCTGCATCTTCTCCTCTGCTCTCTCTCTCTCTCTCGTCCCTTCTCTGCTCTTCTCTCGCTCTCCTCTCCTCTCCTCTTCTCTCTCTCTCTCTCTCTGTGTGTTTTACTTCACCCCATGGTTCAAGCTGTGCAAACAATGTAAATCCATCATAGCGTTGTACATACAGTACGGACAGATGAATTACAGAGCTGAGGAGAGTGTAGCACAACATGCACGCAATGAGAGGAATTAGCAGGGTTGCTATGGTCAATTGACTCTGAACTCTGTTTGTTTGTATGCATACAGAAACACAACACTTACAGTAAGTGGCCAAATGTTACAGCCAACACAGGATTGTATTAGACCATTAACAATGTTCTGTTATTCCTCTGTTTGTATGCAATCTGACCCTGGTATGTAAACCAATGAGTGGCAGGGTGAAGGGGAGAGCAAGGCCTTCTTGCTCTACTTTGAGATGTCTTTGAGGGCTCCTTCCTTGCAGCCTGGTTTAGTGCTGCTGCTGTTGTACATACGTGCAATTTATGAGGGCCAATTATGTTGTATAATTCTGTGTGTGTGTGTGTGTGTTTATCTCTCTAGACCTGTCTCACGGAGAAAGGTCTTCCGAATTCTCAACCGGTTCCCTGAGCGTACGTGGCATGTCATGACTGATCATGAGCGTAGGCTCCCTGCTCATTGGCTCAGCTCTGTGCCAGTAATCTATGAGGGGCAGGGCATGGGATGGGCGGCCCACCTCAGGCTGAGGGATGACAGGGGGAACATAGAACTCTTCTTTCTCCTGCTGATCCAGGTTCTTCAGAATGGCCTTGGACAGGAAGTGAGGGTCATCCTCATGTTCATCTACAGGAAGTAAAAATTATATAGGGTTCATACTACGAGAGAGAGAGAGAGAGAGGCTGAGAGAGAGAGGCTGAGAAAGAGAGAGAGAGGGAGGCTGAGAGAGAGCGAGAGAGAGAGGTTGAGAGAGGTTGAGAGAGAGGTTGAGAGAGGTTGAGAGAGAGGTTGAGAGAGAGAGAGAGAGAGAGAGAGAGAGCGAGAGAGCGAGAGAGAGAGAGAGCGAGAGAGAGAGAGAGAGAGAGAGAGAGAGAGAGAGAGAGAGAGCGAGAGAGAGAGGAGAAGAGAGAGAAGAGAGAGCGAGAGCGATAGCGAGGAGGAGAGATAGAGGGAGAGAGATAGAATCTAAGCGACTAAGAGGAAGACATACAGGATATCTAACCGTTGAGCAGGATGAGTCGGTAGCGGTTCCTGCACTCCAGTGAACGGTCCAGTATGTCCTGTAGAGTCCTGTAGAACAGCAGCACCTGCTCTCTCCTGTCCTTCTCCCCAAACCCTGCACTGCTCTCCTGAGACATCTTATACAGTGTCAGCAGAGGGGTGGCATACTCCACCACACAGTGATGGACCTACAGACACACACACACACACACACACAGGAGATACTGTGATTAGGCGTTTCAGTGCAAAAAATCTGCAAATGGGTTTATAGATTGTCCACACATTTGGCCACGGTGTTGCAAGTGTTGGGCTTTTCCAAGTTTGTTTTAGTATTTTCCAGAGCTCCATAAGCACTCACTGTTGATTCACAATTTGACCACATGGTGGTGCCAGTGTGATGCATTTCACTTTGAGATAGTGTTTGAGAATGTGCCTGTAAATGAATCACGCCTACCTGTCTGTCCTTGTCCAATACGCTGTAGACACTGTGCTTGTAGACACGCCCCCTGACACCTGCCCTGTCGATCTCTGTGTTAGGGAGGTTGTCATGGAAATTGATGTTAGTGTCCGCATCCTCCAGCTTGTGAGTGATGTTTGCGTTGAGAGGGAGGAGGATGAGGAGCTTTCTGGAACCCTTGGTCTCAAACGGACCTACCATATTTGAAGCACGGAACTCTGCGATAGAACCCTCCAACCCTACCAGAGAAACACACACATGCATGCACGGGCGCGCACACACACACAATGGGATACATGTACATTTGAACAGGAACACACACACAACGTTGACATGACAGCTTTTTGATTTATGAAATGAGCGCACTTCATGAATTAATGCTACTTACGAGGCAGAACCAGGTTGAGGTAGCCCAGGTGGAAAGACCAAGCCAGGCCATGAGCCACATTCATCTTCCTCTTCTCACAGATCTCTGACACCTCCACCTCAGACGGACCCTGGACATGGGAGAGAGAAACAACAACCGGAAAATAACCAGAATTACTCACAGGACAAGAGAATGGGATAAAAAGATGGGAAGTAGGAATTAATGTTATACATTTTAGCTGAGCTTTGTGTGTGGGAGTTTGTGTGTGGGTGTCAGAAATAGGGCTGTGGCATTTTGTCAGCCGGTCTCACAGTAATTGACCGTTAATTAACATAAACACATTTAGCATCTCCAGGCCTCCACACATAAGAGCTGCATACTGTACAAGCCACTGATGCGCGCCTTTGGAACATCTACATTTAAAAAAGTCAAATGAATGAATTAATCAAATGAATCACAATAAATCAATTATGTATTTTAGTCAGGTCTAAAGAAACATTATGATATTTCAGAAGAACAGAATATGAGTTGGCCTACTGTATGTTATCTGGCTATGCTCCATGCCATAGGCTGTAGGCTTGTTCATTTAGCTGACAATATATGCTTATAAGTCCCGTGCCATTATTTTATATTATATGATTTTATAGTAAGAAGAATATAATTGAACTTAGCTGAATAAAATATAATTTCCTCATTCCAGAGCAAGTGCACATATGAAGTGGCTATGTTGAGCATAAAAGTGATCATATGAAACAGGTCCTATATGCTAGATTTAGAGTTATTTGGCAATGATACAAACCTTAGAATGTCTTCGAAATCAAAACATACTGCATATGGGCTGCATGATGCAACTACAGGCTATTGATGATTGAGAAAATCGCAAAATATGCTTGTGCTCTGTTCCTTGCCTCAAGCTGCACAGCTGTTCTCTTATCAAGTGATCATATTTTCACCCATCAGACTATTCTAAATGTAATCTACTCTTTACGAATATGTAAAATTAGTTTCGGGGGGGGATACATGTTATCTGTATGCACTGGAATAGCGAATTTGGGCTTTGCAAATTGCAGAAAGGCAGAGCTGAAGTGGAGAAAGACAAATTTGCAGGTCCATTATGATATTCCAAGAGAGCAACTTGGCATATAACAAGGCAATTAGAAAATGCCAGACGGGCTCATTTTTCTAACTTGATCACTAATAATCAGAATAATTCGAGAGTGCTCTACACGACCATTGATGGCCTGATAAATCCTAACCCCGCAAACCTATGTGAACTTTCCTCCACATCTAAATGTGATGAGTTTGCGGTATATTTCAGAGATAAGATAACAAACATTAGGCTGGGTATCAATCAAGCAAGACCTGATGAGAAGTTTGATGATATGTGCCCTAGCCTACCACACAAAGGCACTATGGATTTATTTTCCCTGGTTGACACCGACATGCTCAGGAAAGTGATATCACAACTTAAGCCTTCTACCTGCCTTCTCGATCCTATCCCGCCACCTTCTTCAAAACAGTTTTTAATTGCATATCTGAAGAAGTTCAAGCTATTGTTAATCACTCCCTGTTCACAGGCACTTTCCCCACTGCACTAAAAACTGCTATGGTGAAACCCCTTCTGAAGAAAAGTAATCTAGATTCTTCAGCGTTTAGCAATTTTCGGCCATCTCCAACTTTCCATTCATAAGCAAAATTCTGGAGAAATTGGTTTTCAAACAGCAAAATTATTTTTCAAGTGCCAACTGTATTTTTGAAAAATTCCAATCTGATTTTCGGGCCCACCACAGCATAGTGAAAATGGTAAATGATCTTAGAGCCAACATAGATACCAGACAGCTCTCTGTCCTTGTACTCTTGGATTTAAGTGCTGCATTCGACACTGTTGTCCATGATGTCCTTCTGGACAGACTGGAGTGGTGGGTTGGCCTCTCTGGTCCAGTTCTAAATTGGTTTAGGACCTATTTAACCGGTTGAGAGTTTTTTGTCACCCTTGGTGAACCTTACTAAGAGAAAATACATATCACATGTGGCGTTCCACAAGTTTAGATTTTGGGTCCGGTACTGTTCAGTTTATATATGGTACCCCTTGGCAGCGTTATCAGAAAGCACATCACTGATTTTCACTGCTACGCAGATGATACACAACTTTCCATTTCTGTGTCACCAGAGGACTTTAGCTCCAAGGACAAATGATTAGACTGTATTAGTCATTTAAATACTTGGATGTCTCACAACTTCCTCCAGCTAAATCAAGACGAGACCGAGGTACTTATTGTTGGAGCCAAAGTATAGAGAGAGAATCTGGCCACAGATTTTAATTCAAGGGCATTAAAGATAAAACACCAGGTACAAAACCTAGGTGTTATTTTAGATTCTGAACTCAATTTCTAATCACACATAAGGAATGTGACCAAAATAGCTTTTTACCACCTGAGGAACATTCCCAATGTGCAGCTGTTTTTCTCTCAGGCTGATTCAGAGAGAAACATTCATGATTTTATTACAAGCAGGCTTGACTACTGTAATGCTCTCCTGTCTGGTCTACCCAAGAAAGCCATTGGTCAACTGCAAAACTTACAGAATGCTGCAGCATGGGTACTGACCAAGACCAGACGGAGAGCACACATTATACCGGTTTTAAGGTCTCTGCACTGGCTGCCTGTGAGTTTTAGAATTAATTTTAAGATTCTTCTATTGGTTTTTAAATCAATCCATCATGTCAGACATGATTTTAAGTTATGTACCCAGTAAGTCCCTCAGGTTCTCTGGCATAGACCTTTTAACTATCCCAATGCCTAGGACCAAGAGGCATGGAGAGGAAGCCTTTAGTTACTATGCCCCCAGAATAGCCTGCCAGAGAACCTGAGGGGGGCCGAAACTGTGGACATTTTTTAAAGAGATCTTAAAACACACCTTTTTAGCTTTGGTTTTTAGTCATCGCTGAAACTCCCCAACGGGCTCGGGAGGCAGAGGTCAAGTCATGCATCCCCCTGAAACCACACTTCTTAACACCCGCCCACTTAACCCAGAAGCACCAATGTGTCAGAGGAAACACTGTTTAACTGACAACCAAGGTCAGCCTGCAGGCCTGCCACAAGGAGCCAAGTAAAGCCCCCCTGGCCAAACCCTCCCCTAACCCGGACGACACTGGGCCAATTGTGCGCCTCCTTATGGGACTCCCGATCACAGCTGGTTGTGTACAGCCTGGGTTCAAACCAGAGTCTGTAGCGACACCTCTAGCACTGCGATGCAGTGCCTTAGACTGCTGCGCCACTCGGGAGGCCCTGTTCTTTTGTTTTTTATCCTCTTATGTTTGTTATGTAGTGAATATATATATATATATTTTTTTTTTTTGTCATTTTAGCAGACGCTCTTATCCAGAGCGACTTACAGTTAGTGAGTACATACATTTTCATACTGCCCCCCGTGGGAAACGAACCAACAACCCTGGCGTTGCAAGCGCCATGCTCTACCAACTGAGCTACAGGGGACTACATTTTCATTGTTTTTATTAGTTGTTTTCCGGTGAAGCATATTGTGTTGCATTCCATGTCTGAAATGTGCAGTATAAATAAAGCTTGATTTGATTTGATTTGACTAGCTATTCAAAATCAAATACAAATTCACTATAATTGTAGGCTACCTGTAAGTCGCCCTGCACAATCAATGAAACAACAGCACCCCCAGACTCATGTACAGTGGGGAAAAAAAGTATTTAGTCAGCCACCAATTGTGCAAGGTCTCCCACTTAAAAAGATGAGAGAGGCCTGTAATTTTCATCATAGGTACACGTCAATTATGACAGACAAAATGAGAAAAAATAATCCAGAAAATCACATTGTAGGATTTTTAATGAATTTATTTGCAAATTATGGTGGAAAATAAGTATTTGGTCAATAACAAAAGTTTCTCAATACTTTGTTATATACCCTTTGTTGGCAATGACACAGGTCAAACGTTTTCTGTAAGTCTTCACAAGGTTTTCACACACTGTTGCTGGTATTTTGGCCCATTCCTCCATGCAGATCTCCTCTAGAGCAGTGATGTTTTGGGGCTGTCGCTGGGCAACACGGACTTTCAACTCCCTCCAAAGATTTTCTATGGGGTTGAGATCTGGAGACTGGCTAGGCCACTCCAGGACCTTGAAATGCTTCTTACGAAGCCACTCCTTCATTGCCCGGGCGGTGTGTTTGGGATCATTGTCATGCTGAAAGACCCAGCCACGTTTCATCTTCAATGCCCTTGCTGATGGAAGGAGGTTTTCACTCAAAATCTCACAATACATGGCCCCATTCATTCTTTCCTTTACACGGATCAGTCGTCCTGGTCCCTTTGCAGAAAAACAGCCCCAAAGCATGATGTTTCCACCCCCATGCTTCACAGTAGGTATGGTGTTCTTTGGATGCAACTCAGCATTCTTTGTCCTCCAAACACGACGAGTTGAGTTTTTACCAAAAAGTTATATTTTGGTTTCATCTGACCATATGACATTCTCCCAATCCTCTTCTGGATCATCCAAATGCAATCTAGCAAACTTCAGACTGGCCTGGACATGTACTGGCTTAAGCAGGGGGACACGTCTGGCACTGCAGGATTTGAGTCCCTGGCGGCGTAGTGTGTTACTGATGGTAGGCTTTGTTACTTTGGTCCCAGCTCTCTGCAGGTCATTCACTAGGTCCCCCCGTGTGGTTCTGGGATTTTTGCTCACCGTTCTTGTGATCATTTTGACCCCACGGGGTGAGATCTTGCGTGGAGCCCCAGATCGAGGGAGATTATCAGTGGTCTTGTATGTCTTCCATTTCCTAATAATTGCTCCCACAGTTGATTTCTTCAAACCAAGCTGCTTACCTATTGCAGATTCAGTCTTCTCAGCCTGGTGCAGGTCTACAATTTTGTTTCTGGTGTCCTTTGACAGCTCTTTGGTCTTGGCCATAGTGGAGTTTGGAGTGTGACTGTTTGAGGTTGTGGACAGGTGTCTTTTATACTGATAACAAGTTCAAACAGGTGCCATTAATACAGGTAACGAGTGGAGGACAGAGGAGCCTCTTAAAGAAGAAGTTACAGGTCTGTGAGAGCCAGAAATCTTGCTTGTTTGTAGCTGACCAAATACTTATTTTCCACCATAATTTGCAAATAAATTCATTAAAAATCCTACAATGTGATTTTCTGGATTTTCTTTTCTCAATTTGTCTGTCATAGTTGACGTGTACCTATCATGAGAATTACAGGCCTCTCTCATCTTTTTAAGTGGGAGAACTTGCACAATTGGTGGCTGACTAAATACTTTTTTCCCCCACTGTATATACATTTGGGAGTGTAGCATAATGTAACCAGTCCATCCAGTATGCATAATAATACAGTCCACACTCAAAGGCCATTACTCGAATTTGTTTAATTTTGGAGTATAGGCTAGAACAATTATGTACCAAAGACATCTTAAATCAGTTTTGTTTTATGTTTTTCTGCCATGGGTAATATGCGATAGGCTTTGTATTGTATAACGGCACAATCATAATTTTAATGAAGTTCTTTTTTTCGGCCTTGTTATCTAATATGCATATGGATATTTTGAATTAATCATCACCTTATAAAGCGCTGTCCATTTCGTTGTGTTAGGCTTTGAAACAACATCCACAAGACCATGTTTTACACTCAGTTTCATTTACATTTTACATTTTAGTCATTTAGCAGACGCTCTTAACCAGAGCGACTTACAGGAGCAATTAGGGTTAAGTGCCTTGCTCAAGGGCACATTAACGTCAGTTTCAACCTGTTGTTCTTCAAATTGATCATCACACTGAGGTGAGTTTTAAAAGCACTAAACTGTTTTGATGATAAATATTTGATGTGATTTTCGTTTGCATTTGAATTGATGTCAGAGTGGTTAGAGGGACAATAGAGCCCTGAGCACCAGGCCATTAGCAACCTGACGGTCGTTAGCTAGTTGGGTACTACTAATGCCAGACTGCATAAGAGGAGATTACCATGACTCAACAGTCATGTAGAAGTTTACTGCGGTCATGACTCATGGCGGTAATATGGTAACACAACAGCCCTAGTCAGAAAACCTCAGGGTTCCTCAATGGTCCCAGGGACTAGACTGCATGAACAGTGTGTTGCACCTCACTGGATACATAGCTCTTTCCATGTTTACTCTGTGGTGATTTAGGGAAGAATACTAGTTTCCTTAGAAATATTTGGGAAACACGATTTTCAGAAGAAATTAACCACAACAAAATGAAAGCTGCTTGGTGTATTTCAAAACAAGTCCATGCCACTTCTGCTGATTAGCTGACTAATAGGGGTTGACTAATAGCTGACTAATAGGGGTTACTCTTTTGGGTTTCAGGGGACAGAAATATGCGTCTCGTACAGTATCATTCACCTTCATTGGCTTTACGAAGGTAAACAGTGTTATTATTGGCATAAAGGAAAGAGTTTGGAGCACTAGACTGATGATGGGGCGGCAGGTAGCTTAGTGGTTAAGAGCGTTGTGCCAGTAACCGAAAGGTCGCTGGTTCTAATCCCCGAGCCGACTAGGTGAAAAATCTGTCGATGTGCCCTTGAGCAAGGCACTTAACCCTAATTGCTCCTGTAAGTCGCTCTGGTTAAGAGCGTCTGCTAAATGACCAAAAAATAAAATGATTAAAACTCAACCTGGAGACACATAGGGTCCTGTGTTGGTTCATACTGTGTGTGAGAGTTCCAGATTAGGCGCTTGTTATCTCACCAGTACTCCCAGGGTTTTGAGTAGAGGGTAGAGGACACAGGCCAGGATAACCATGCTCCACTGGTCCCTCCAGGGCTGGGGCTCGGTCAAGACAAACAGCAGCACTGCCAACCCCACACCCAGGAGGGTACACACACCCACACAGGCTGTCACCATCTGACCCAGCCTCCCACCACGGTATCTGGGCAGAGAGAAAGAGAGAGAGGAGAGAGGGAGAGGAAGTGAGAGAGAGAGAGAGAGGGAGGTAGAGCGAGAGGGAGGCAGGTAACATGTAAATATCCATGTAAATAACATGTAAATCAATTTATTCGGCTACCATGTTTTGTGAGTATGGAAGTTAATAAGTTCCCTCACCTGGTATTTGCATGATGCAGACATTCCTCTGAGAGAAGAAACACTCCGTGCAGTGAGGGCCCCACAGTCAGGATGAGTATCGCTGCAGCAACGTGTCTGAAGAAGCACTCAGGCTCCAAAACCAAGATAGCCACCGTCACCACGGTAGCCAATCCTATCGCACAGGCTTTGGGTAGACTCCCACGAGGCTGAGGGACCAGACACTCCTCCCCTCCCAACTGCTGCATCTGAGGAACAGACGTAACGAGACCATGACTTAGTATGATATAACACTACAGTAATCATCAGTAAACTCCTGTTCCTTTTGTCATTTTCACAACTTTTCTGGAATAACTTTCAATGAGGAACTATTCCCAGGGTTTGGGTTAGATTTCATCCTCTTCATCAGTGGCATCTTGTGTATGAGATTTCAGAATACGTCACATTAAAACATCCTGGTACGGAACATCGGCGAACTAAGAACAGCCATCTGAGAACAACTAAGAACCCAAATGTGTGTGTGTGTGTGTGTCTGTGTGTGTGTGTGTGGTATATAGGAGTAGTTACACTTCCTATATACACACACCTGCTTGCACTGTTTCAAAGATAATGCCGGTTTACCAGAAATCTAAACTGGCTAGTCCAGTATTGTGCAGTATTGTGCAAAGCCTGATTATATTTTAGTCCTGAACTCAATTACTGGGGAACAATTACGTGAGATAATCCTACAATTGGGAATCTGATTATCATGAATACAATAATATGGCCAATCTCCTTAAGAGAACCCCTCAGCCTGATTTAAAACAAATATAATATATGGTAGAATGGGAGAGGATCACATTTAGTTTAGAAATAATAATTTTAGTCCAGTATAATACATCAGCTATTAAATGGTGCCCTGATGTTACCCATGCACTTCAGAGTAATGGAAACATACCATCATCTCCATGACTACATTCTCATACCACACAACATACATAATCTCATACACAATAAATACTTTTTTTCCATGAGGGAATTGTTATCCTATACCCAGATCTTCATTTGAAGGTTCAGTTCAAATGCAAACAAACGTTTTCAAAAGTTTGCACCTGACATTGCTAATCTGCTGAGGTTTACCTTTCTTCTGTTTGGAGTGGTCCCAGTTCTAGAAAACAGAACAACAGAGACAATCCAAGAATGACAGAGATTAATAGAAATGATAAATAAGAGATCTCTTCCTCTTCCACGTTCTTTCTCACTGTTCTCTCTCTCCGTCCATCCCTTTCTGTTATACAAACGTGGGTAATAATTTCAGTTTCAGTTTGACAGAGGCGGAAGTGAGGCAATACTTCCCACACAATGAGCGATAAAGACCAATAGAGAGCGATAGAGTGTGATAGAGAAAGATAAAGGGATAGAGAGTGATAGAGAAAGATAAAGAGAGAGAGAGAGTGATAGAGAAAGATAAAGAGAGAGAGAGTGATCAAGAAAGATAAAGAGAGAGAGTGATAGAGAAAGAGAAAGAGATAGAGATAGTGTAGTGTCTGAAGGTCTATTGATTTTGCTGATGTTTGCAAATGGTGTAATAGATTAACTTTACTCTGCTTTGCTGAAGCATTTGGAAAAGCATTGCTACATAGGTTTCTTGGAATAGAGGACATTTGGAGATATGTGAAAGCCGGGGATTGGTTTATTAAAATCACGCCATACTATGTCACATAGGATATAAATACCATGTCTTAAACAAAGAAGGAGAAAAACAACATATTAACACATTGGGCCGTTGTTCTCCAGATATCTGCAGATGTCTGTAAATTGATACTGTGATCTTTGATATAATAAACCTTTATAATCAAAGTACAGTGTAAGCGGACTTCTTATCATCACAGCATAATTAGCAACATATTTTGAGACACCACATAAATGGCGACAAGGATTTGGGACGTGCTACGTCTTTTCTCAGCATTCCATTCATGGGCTACGAAGTGACTCCCGCTCAAGACGCCGGCAGATAAGGTGAGATTACTCACAGTTCTTTGGGCGCTGGTCGGTTCGTGTGCTTGTGTCTGTGTTTGTTCAGATGTACCGTCAAAGGACTTGTGTGTGCGCTTTGCTGTTATTTGCTGTGGGATGAGAGTCCGTTCTAAATGTCTAACTTTGTTTGCGTTGGGAACAACGCAAACAGGGGGGAGAGTCTATAGAAATTATTGACACTGGGCACACATATTTTGGCTTGGAAAAAGTGTGAGAGAGTGTCCAGGAAAAGCATGAAGGAATAAGGCCAGGAATAAGGAAAAAGTATACTTTTAGGACGCCGTTGATTTAAGGAAGCCCTTGAAACAAGGCGATCATGTCAGTGGCTGAGTGTAGATGCGGTGTGGAAATCAAGCGCAGGAAACACGGGCGTTCGTGAACAGACTTTAGTACACGAAAGCAGCACCAAACAGGCGAACAGCCAACCCAACCGGGAGGCAAGATACAAATTACGCACAATAAACACAGTGCGTAAAACGACGATAGCGCACACAGTGCGGACTCTCGAAAACAACAAAACACGAGAGGAAATACAGAGAGCTACAGCTTGACAAAAAACAATCACACATAACACCTGACCCAACACACGATAACTAAATAGGAAACAAAATCAAACACTAACAAGGGACAGGTGTACAAACAGACAAAACCAAACAAACATGAAACATCGAACGGTGGTAGCTAGTACTCCGGGGACGACGACCGCCAAAGCCTGCCCGAACAAGGAGGAGGAGCAGCCTCGGCCGAAACCGTGACAGTACCCCCCCCTTGACGCGCGGCTCCAGCCGTGCGCCGATCCCGGCCTCGGGGACGACCAGGACGACGCGGAGCAGGGCGCGTAGGATGACCCTGATGGAACTCGGTCAGCAGGGACAGGTCTAATATGTCCCTCCTCGGCACCCAGCACCGCTCCTCCGGGCCGTACCCCTCCCACTCCACGAGATATTGGAGACCCCCCATCCGGCGTCTCGAATCAAGAATGGACCTCACAGTGTACGCCGGAGCCCCCTCGATGTCCAACGGGGGCGGAGGAATCTCCTCTATCTCATAGTCCTGGAGTGGACCAGCAACCACCGGCCTGAGGAGAGACACATGGAACGAGGGGTTAATATTCCTGTAATCAATAGGCAGTTCTAACCTGTAACACACCTCGTTCAACCTCCTCAGGACTTTGAATGGCCCCACAAACCGCTGACCCAGCTTCCGGCAGGGCAGGCGGAGGGGCAGGTTTCTGGTCGAGAGCCAGACTCGATCTCCAGGTGCGTATACAGGCCCCTCACTGCGGTGGAGATCGGCGCTCGTCTTATGCCGACGGATGGCCCGCTGCAGATGGACGTGGGCAGCGTTCCATGTCTCCTCCGAGCGCCGCACCCACTCATCCACCGCAGGGGCCTCGATCTGGCTCTCGTGCCAAGGTGCCAGAACCGGCTGGTACCCTAACACACACTGGAAAGGGGTTAGTTGGGTGGAGGAGTGGCGGAGAGAGTTCTGCGCCATCTCGGCCCACGGAACGTATCTCGCCCACTCCTCCGGCCGGCCCTGGCAATAAGACCTCAGAAACCTCCCCACATCCTGGTTGACACGTTCAACCTGCCCATTACTCTCCGGGTGGTAACCCGAGGTAAGGCTCACCGAAACCCCCAACCGTTCCATAAAAGCTCTCCACACTCTGGAGGTGAACTGGGGGCCTCGATCAGACACTATATCCTCGGGTACCCCGTAATGCCGGAAGACATGGGTAAACAGAGCCTCAGCGGTCTGTAGGGCAGTAGGGAGACCCGGCATGGGAAGGAGACGACAGGCCTTCGAGAACCGATCCACAACGACCAGGATGGTAGTATTCCCCTGTGAGGGGGGAAGGTCTGTAACAAAGTCCACCGAGAGGTGGGACCAGGGTCGTTGTGGAACGGGCAGGGGTTGTAGCTTACCCCTGGGCAAATGTCTGGGCGCCTTACACTGTGCACACACCGAACAGGAGAAGAAACCACCAAAACCGGACCAAGCAGCGTGTCCAGGAGCCATCGCTAGCAGATCTCCGTGGCAACCTCGACTGGGTCAAGCCTAGTGAGGAGCAGAGAGGGTGGACTTGGGAACAGTTGAGGAAGAGCTTCGACTGGGTCAAGCCCATTGAGGAGCTGAATAGCGGGAGTTGGAGACAGAAGAGCGAGAGTTGGGCGAGAACGATAGAGGCCTGGCCCACGGGGAGGAGAGACCCCCAGAACATTTTTAGGGGGGGGCTCACGACGTCGGGGCAGCAGGAGGCCGCGATAGAGCGGCCCAGCGGGTTGCCAGAGGAGGCCGCCAGGTTACGGGGGCCACTGGTCGAAGAGGGGATGGTGGATGTAGAGGCACGGCGAGAGGTACTGGCGTGTGTTGCCAGTCCGGTCCGGCCTGTTCCTGATCCCCACGTAGGGCCAGTGGTGTGTGTTCCCAGTACGGTCCGGCCTGTTCCTGCCACTCGCACCAAGTCAGTGGTGCGCTTCGTCAGCCCGGCACGGCCCGTTCCTGCTCCCCGCACCAAGTCAGTGGTGCGCTTCGTCAGCCCGGCACGGCCCGTTCCTGCTCCCCGCACCAAGTCAGTGGTGCGCTTCGTCAGCCCGGTCCGGCCCGCTCCTGCTCCCCGCACCAAGTCAGTGGTGCGTTTCGTCAGCCCAGCTCGGCCCGTTCCTGCTCCACGCACCAAGTCAGTGGTGCGCTTCGTCAGCCCGGCTCGGCCCATTCCTGCTCCCCGCACCAAGTCTGTGGTGCGTTTCGTCAGCCCTGTCCGGCCCGTTCCTGCTCTCCGCACCAAGTCTGTGGTGCGCGTCGCCAGCCCAGTCCGGCCCATTCCTGCTCCCCGCACCAAGTCTGTGGTGCGTTTCGTCAGCCCGGCTCGGCCCGTTCCTGCTCCCCGCACCAAGTCTACGGTGCGTTTCGCCAGCCCTGTCCGGCCCGCTCCTGCTCCCCACACCAAGCCAGTGGTGTGCGTCGTCAGTCCAGCACGGCCCGTGCCTGTTCCCCACACCAAGCCAGTGGTGTGCGTCGTCGGTCCGGCACGGCCCGTGCCTGTTCCACTGGTGCCTGGTCCGGCACCGGTCAAATGCGTTACGCCGGAGCTAGAGCAATCCGCTCCATCAGTGTGCAGTCCAGCTCCGGCCAGCGGGGCCAGACCGGACCAGGGGTACTTTGGGGGGTTGGAGAGGGAGTGGGGATCAGGCCCGGAGCCGGATCCGCCGCCAAGGCGGAGTGCCCA